GACACTCAATGGAGGCTCGCGGACACCGAGCGGAGAGACGGTCACGACTGACTGACTGACTGCTGGAGGAGGGAGCGAGGCGCGGGAGATATAATGATATACGATCAATAAAAATAACTATTAATTAAGATACATACACACGTCAGAAGATTAGAGTCACAAGACACGCCCCCTCACAAGCCGGTCAGCTCGGGGCTCGCACATGTAAGGTCCAGGGTCCGCATCAACATGGACCTTACCCATCCATCACTGTGACCGAATACACAACTTGACTCACACAGATGGAGGAATGTCAGATTGTTATCTCATAATTTTATCGCCTCATCAACTTAATAGATTTTTTTGGAGAATGTTTTCTAATTAATTTTATAATAGTTTAACTTCATCGTATATTATATTTCTCATATTTCAACACATTCTCCTGTTAAGGACCGGTTTCATATTAATTGGCGGTGTTTATCCTGAGTCCTTGTTAGTTGTTGTGATTAAAACACTTCAATAGAACAACGACGAATTGTTTTTTAATACTTTGCAAGACTAAGAATCGAGAACATGTGAATGTACTAGATATTTTTAATGATGTATGTATGTATGTATGTATGTATGTTCGCCTGTAGCCTGAGCGATGGTCGGGCGTGCGTCGTCATTCAAGCGATTACAACTTTAATGACTATGATATAAGAGCGGAAATCGTACCATGTACCATTGATAATTTATTGAACTTTATTACAAACGTTCATTAAACGAGTATTGAAATTAAAAATTATGAACTCCGGCCGTACATCAGGTATGGGAGAGAGTGTTGGGAATGAACAGCGGCCGAGGTCAGTGTCATCATATACACTGAGCATACAACATCACGTGTCATTAAAATATTATAAGGACTACTGTCCTCTCTCCTATAATAATTATTTACATGTGTATCTTCTCTGTCTGTGATCTGCAGTACCCATTCTAATGAAACTTGCACTTGAGAATGTAATTGTTTATAGTAAAAATGAAAATAAAATTTTACATTAAAGATGTACGTTTTAAAGAAAACTAGAAATCGATCCTTTAACATCTCCTGAGATAATTTATTTATTTATTTATTTAGGAACACCAACAGTGCACATATACAACATTTACACAAAAAATATAGCCAAAAGTAAAGTCTACATATGTACACCTATTACAGGTGTTCACAGCATTGCCTAAAAAAATTTTTTAAAAACAACACCTTAATCTAATTAAATTATATTACATCTACAAGAAAAAACACTATTTAAAAAATTTTTGTTATGCGTTGACGAGGAATTTTATAGGGTACCGAAATAGTCAGCTGAGATAATAATACGAATTAGTGAGAAATAAAAAAACAGTTATAATGTAAGAACATTGAGTTAAATACTTCGGTTAAAAGATAATGAAATGAAGGTTAATTAAATACGTTTATGTAAAATGTACTGTTCATTGATTTATAATAACTCTGTTCGGATTCTGAACGTTATTTAACTTCATCGACAGTTTTTACAGAATATTACTGTGATTGTTATCATTTGAGACAAAATGTCTTTAAAAATGAATCTTTCTTATATTTATTGTTACAATTTTATACTTTAAACAGTAAACTGCTAAGTCATTATTTGTGTTGAATGAAGTTTGTTATTTAAACTATTTGCTAGTAAATATTACATTTTAAAATATTGAGGACTCAAATACACCTGTGATAAAAAAATGCACATGGTCATTTGTTCTCGGGTCAGGCTAACGGATGGTTGTAGTTTTCTCAGGAATCAATACATGGAAATACTTGGCGATATAAGGCGATACGAGGCGATACAACACATTATACGGCAATTAGTAAAGTGGTGTCGCGCTTACAGCGGCCCGCGAGCTCCGTGCGGTGTGACGTACATGGAAACAGGAGTACTGTTAGAATTTATTGTTAAATAAAATGACAAGTGTTTTAGGAAATATTGTTAATAACTTTTTTCTCACACATGACTCAAGTCTTTATTATGAATAATATTTCGTGTCTGTCTTCTGGTAGAATGAGAGCTTCTAGTTTCTCTTCATCTAGAGTCTACATGAACAGAGTAATCAAACGACTTTTTAATATTATCAATTACACGACGGTGTTACAAAACTACTCACAGGCGTGGGATCCATTACAAGTGTGACAGAGACGCTCCCACAGACAGGTCGCTGATAACGTTTAGGAGATGTCAGCTGACAGACGGTTCAATGAATCAGTTGGAATCTAGCGAGAGAAGTCGGCGGAGAGGCAGCGAGCGTCTCTGTAACTATACATACATATATACAGAGGTTAATATTAAGAGGAAGGCCTCTAATGTTGGTTGTATAATATGTGTCCATAAAGGTCATAAATGTTGTCATCATACATACAAATACTTTATGTTTAAGTACAACAGTAAGTTAATACCGTGAAGTGTTCTCGTATCAGATGTGACGCTCGTCAACAGTTGTTTCAGGGTTGAGATGTTTTGTATAGTAACCGGAGAGGAGCCGGCCGGGTCGAGCTGGTGTCGGGTGTCTCCTGTCGACCTGCTCACAGATATACTCTTGACAAAGATTGTATTTACCTGACTCACCTATAGTTTAAACCGTTTAGTTTTCACAGCCTTATCATATTTTTTAACAATTTTTTTTTCTAAATACACCTCTTAATATTATCTGCCTTATTTATAGGAATGTGATAATCAACTTGATACTGAATCTGTATTTATACAACATTGGTAAAGTCTGTGGATAACTCATCACTCTCAGTCGTATATCTCCTAACTTTTAGTCATTGTTCTATATTCACTCTGGAATGTTTCTTCTCACAGATATCAGTGAAAGGCCTGAGTTCCTTGTTTCATCGTTTTGATCCATTTTTTTAATATAACAATCTTGATTATTTAACTTGAACAAAAATTAGAATAAAAAATGAATCCATGCTAGAAAAATCGATCTTTCGACCTTCAGGTAAAGTTCAAGTTGTCTTCTTACAAAAATTCAAAAATTGTGTAGTTCATGTAAAGTTTATCCATGTGATAAGGTCTGGTTATTTTTGTTAAGGTAAGTAATAATCGTGTTCTAATATAATATAATGGTAGGTATGTGTCTTTCTTGTAAGTGGTCTGCTTGAGTGAGCTAATATGTTAAGTGTGTAGTCGTGTCCCAACGCGTGTACCGCCTGAAGACGAGAGACGGGACCGTGTGTAGTGAGGGTCGGGTTACAGGCGCCGAGGAGGGAGGAACATCTTCATAGTTGGTTATAAAACACCTTTTAAAACTTCATCTCATACTCTGCATCACTTTTATGTTATATATGTTCAGAGACTTGACTTCCTAACGTCTCTTTATTTTTGTTCATCTTTTCATTTTAACAAACAGCAGAATCGTTTTCCTGATCCTGAGCGTAATGTATTCATTCAATTATTTATTAATAAACGTTTACTAATATTCGTATCTAATATCCGTCGATCAGTTGGGCGACCAGTCGCTGGACCGGTCCGTCATTATAATCGTCGTTGGCGAGACGAATGATTTATGATAACGTAGTGGTAATAACTCACTCACTTATGTATAATTATTTTCGTAATATTGACTGTTCGTAAGTAACATACTGCGCCTACTGCGGGCGACTGTATATTAAATTTATTATTGAAACACATTAAAAGTTTAATATCTCTGAGAACCTTCCTACTTCACATCACAGTGTATATCTTGTGTGTGGTGACTGGTGGCGGGTGTGTGAGTGGTAACGTTTATGTAAATCAAATGTCTGTTTAGTATCCGATGGTTGTGATGAATGATCTCCTCCACCTCTATTATAGTATAACATCGATGTACTCACACTCATATTATTAAATGCTATCAATATATAATAACACGATCTTCGTCTTTGATCTCAATAATTATTGTATTCATTATGATTCGAGATATGTGATGCAGATTGAAATTAATGTTGTACATTAAAAGTCTTGTCTCTCATTGATTCATTATTAACATTAATATTTTTTACTGAATTTTATTTGAAGTTCATCGTAAATTCTTTAAATCCGATATATGTATTTTTTATTGGCTAATTGAATGTTTGTCATATGTTATTCCGCTTGCATGAAATCCCGCTGGAGTTTTTTATTGCATATATACAACATTTTTATAGTCTTTTATCTCTTGATTATCAGTTTTTAACAAACAATTGACTTTAGTCTCACCTCGTTTTGTCTAACTATTATCACTATTCGATCTATCAGTGTTTTATTCCATCGTCTAAGGAAAATGCGATATAAACCTATATGACCTATTATTTTTTCAGGTGAAAGGTGTTTTTTTAATACACGTCAATGACATGTTATAAATTTTGAGGATTCATCAAAGAAAGAAAAGATAAAAATCTTTACTCTACAGGAAAGTAACAGTGTTATTCTCATCAAGACGTACGTCTGTAGTTTGGACTCTTTGTGACAAAGAGGACTCTATGCAGAACAAATAAAGACCGAATATATGTAACACATCTAAATAATAAATGGAAGAAGAAAGATAAGGAAATCCACGTTACCGAGCGGTCGAAGAGAAGATAGTTTGAAAGAAAATAAAAACACAGCGATACTAAAATAAGATGTTTGAGAAGACTGTGTGTGAAACATTATATAGTATGAGGTGAGAGACACAGAAGAATGAAGACAGCGTGGTGTGTTACGAGTGAGAAGAACAGTTGTGTCAGATTACATGACTTATGACATATAACTGTGGTACTGTTGAAATGAAGAAAAAAATGAAGAAGAAGAGAAAAAAACACAATGCTTACACAATAATACATCAAGGTTGAGGTGCGTTATGTTTCAGCAAATTTTAAAATTTCGATTGTCTTTGGACCCCACACTAGGAGACCTGTATCGTAATAAATACCATACTATTCAATATATTCAAAAAGCTTCTGTGTTTGTATCAATGAAAGCACGTTAATGTGTTGCGGTCACGGGAATACCTTCTCTACTATGAACTATCTATAATTCAGAGCTTTCGCAAAAAGCTGTTGCGGCGGGAGGAGGCGGGAGGCGGCGGAGGTGTGCGCGCGGTCCGCTCGGCCAGTGCGCGTGAGTCGCTCTCTCAGGACACGTCCGTGAGGCGCATGCGCGGACCGAGCACACCTCATACAGGAGGTTCACTACACGAACCGTTCGTTCAAACCGTGAGTGGCTGAGTGAGTGTCCAGTGCAGTGTGAGTACAGTGAGTGAGCTTCAGTGAGGACCAGCCTCGCCAACATGACTTATAGCGCTCTCATATACTATTGGTAATTATAGATTATCTGATTACGGCCGTGCGTACACATTAAGTACTTCGGTAAATGACCGGGAATAAATACTTGATTACGTCTTTACCCGACATCTCACACTATAGGAAACTTTCTATGAAGCTTTAAGTAACAATAATTTACAAGCTACAAGTTCTCAATATTCGTATGGAAGTGTTAACACTAAAAGCTTCTCAACGCATTCTCTTCACAACCCTTATAGTTTTATAAGTTGTTATAGTCAATTATAGTTGCGGGGACAGAACACGTCGCTCCTTGATTATACTTAACTACATAAAAATAATGCAATAATCTTTTAAACGGATTCCAGTTAGATTTAATTAAGAATCGTATCTAATATGTTGATTGTAAGACTCGAGTTGTCCATAAACAGATAATTCATATGTTTTTTGTCAGTATGTTCGCCTCGGAGCTCGTATCTCCATTTCTGTCTCGAGGGGCGTCTCACGATCAAACATTTTATTCTCAAAACCTGAACTAAGATATAATAATATAATTACTGTCTATTAAATATATTAAAATACCTTCGTACAATGGTATGCAACATTAAAATAGGCGTTTTAAAGTGTAATGAGGACATTATTTAAAATATATTTTAATTAGTAGACTTAAATACGTTAACTTGGTCTCTGACAGTCAGTTGGTTTGTATTGCTCTCTGTTAGTCTCTACTAGTCTGTGTTCTTCTCTGTTATTAGTGCTAAACTGTTACTCTATGCATAGGTTGTAATGCACAATTAATATCTTTGTAATGGCTGTACGATTTTACAGTACATAAACCGTTTTAAAGAGTGTTGTTAATTATGAGAAGTGAACATCACACTATATAAATGAATGTAATACATTTCGTTGAAACACTTACTTAGTATTTTAAAGGCGATCTGTTTTATAGCATTTATAAAATGTTTTTTACAAATTGCTAATGAGACATGAAATTATTTAATTGTCCGGCTCCCTCCATGTCGGTTGCTACACACTACACGCTCGCTGGGACTCGTCAGGAATGCGACTCAGAGAAAAGCAAACAAAATCACCGGTCACTTTTTCTGTATTTACATTTGTAATTCAATATATTTCGGTGCTCTTCGCGTATTGAAGTCGTCAAAGTAAACATCAAATATTTGTTAAAAAACTTTGTACAAAGCCAGCAACATCGTTATAATGTGTTGCTGAGAACCTGAGCGTTTAGTTACGTGTTCTAGACGCAGAGGTACAGAGACGGTCGCTCTGATATAGTAAAATAGTTTAGAATGAACACTTAAAATTAAAAACCTCGAATATGAGAAAAAGACGAGATATCAACAATTAGTATTCATACATTTATATTATAAGCGTAAGGGTTTGAGTGGTGTGTGTACCTAGTAGAGGGAATTGATATAGATCAAATGTTGTGTTCAGACGGCTTGAGAACTGGAATAAAAGTACTGTATGTTTTAAATATGCTCCGATTCCCTTAACTCACGTTATAATCACATATATGCTCTGTAATATATTCATATTATATAAGTATAAGATTGTGAAGGAAAACACCATTAATAATAGAATAAAGAAATAACTTAATTAGATGCGGGAGTTTCCAGAAACATTGAAGCGGTCGTTGGATAATTTTGAAGTTAATATTCGTTCCATGAAGCGCTGAGCTGGAGTAGTTCCAAGATTATCAGTTAGGTACTTAGAGAATAGATACCCAGGACACTTGTTGACTGTTTACAGTGAACTCTTATACTATGACGAAGGTACATATATATAGATATATACATAGGTATATAGATGGTAGTGACCCTCATCATACAGGTGATGTCACACGGCCGCCTGTAACGTTTTGTTACTGTATATATTTAATAGTCGTAGTTGCTTGCTGTACGTGTTAATATGAATGTTGTTGATTGTGATCGCCGAACTTAAACATTGACGTCCGTGTTACAATGTTGTATAGTTATAAAGCTGATCACCTTGACAGACTACAGCCGCGGCTCGGTAATGAAATCATCCGAATATACATTTAAATCGAACCTCAAATTAATTCGACATCATTGATCGGGATTTCCTTTAACTATTCCAATGAATTCTGTAGCTCCACGAAGCAGGATTCAATTAATTAACTACAAAATCTATCAAAATACAAGATATTGTATTATCTGCAAGTCACTCAGTCAAGCGTCAGATTTCGTCGACAGAGTGGAACCTTCAGATGTGAGTAGTAAGCACTGATTCATTGTGTTAGTTAGAATCATGGGTGTGTTTCGACACCGGTAGCTCAGTAAGTGCAAGTAATCAGTTCCCAGTAGTAACAATGTGGAACGATTATAACTTTATCAAGATCCATTCCATACAAATTGGTCGACACAGATTACGTTAGTGTCGGTCAGGAGTCACGACCGTCTTAAATTAGAATGTTGGAACAGAGAGAGATATCATCTTAATATGTATTAGAATTGATTGAATATAACAAGAGGTGTGTGGGAGCCGAGGGCGGCGGGACTGCTAGCTGTACCTAGTACCTACCGTGATCATCGTGACACGTGTCAGTGGGCCAGCAGTGTGCCGATGATATCTCCAGGTCACTCGCTCTACTGCTGTTCATGTACACTACCTACTACACCGTTGTAGTGAGTTTCTATTTGATATCAATACTCTACTAGATGAATAAAAGTCTGCCTTCATGACCTATGAACATGTGCCTCCTTGATTCATCATGAGTTTCGTTTCATTTCACCACAAAACTAATTTTAGTAAACTAGTTTATTTATATGCCTGCTCAAGGGATAGATACCAATAAATGTCTGTATATTCTCGGTCGCCATATTTAATTGCATTGAAACAATTTTTTAAATTGCACTCGAAGTTTTACAAGTATTGAAACATGTAGGAATAAATATTTTTGAGATTCATTACGATATTGAAAATGTTATTGGTAAAGAAAAAAAAAGTTTTTCGAATTGTGAATGAATTGATTTCGTTCATGGAACAATTATATTTAACCGCAGTTGGTTTAATATATTGACGACTATTTAATATATTGGCGACTGTATCAATATAATTATAATTGGTTAACCACTAATAGTTCACATGAAGATATGTATTCAATGAGTAAGGGTCCTGTGTTATATGTTCAGTGTTGAGAGACCTCATCACTAAATACATTAAAATCACTGATTTCCGACCATATGGCTGTCGTGTGACGGTGTGATTGTTAGTTTTTAATATAGGTAGGTACATAGTAGTTACAAACGACCAAAGAAAATACTAAGAAGACGCTCACTTTACTAAATTTTAAATTTTGTGAGACAAACAAGTATAATTATTAAAATAATATATTTCGGAGCGAATACCTTTTATTAAGGTGGTCAATATTTAAAACTGTCACATGTCACCAGTAAACCACATGTATAAGTACAGTCACAACAATGAGTATCGGTTGGTATTAGAAAAATACAGGTGAGACTACTGATTACAAACGGTTTCACTCGAGCATTTACAGGGATAGGGTCTCTGAGAAATGAGAGATTCATCAAACAGTGTATTAGGTTACCTTCAGTAGCCTGAGAGTCGGACGATAATCAAGAATAAAGGCATCGGTGACGTCAGTTATGATGACGTCACTCTTTAAAAAAAAACAATGAATTTGTACTAACTCCTACATATATATAACACGAGTATTGTACCTCGTTGTAATGATTCAGATACATGTATGTAATTAATCGACGTTGGCACTGCGAGCAGATATTAAACACTAGCTTATAAAGAAACACGCAAATTAAGGAACATTGTTTAAATCTTAATAATTTTTTTTTTCTGTGATTTTTTAAGAAAGAAGAATGTGATGTTAACAAAAAGATCTCTGGCTGGAAACACTTAACTTCATTTATCACTTGGTCATATACACCATATAGTCACCTCGGAGGCATAGTGTATGGAGTACAGCTAATAAAATATTTAAAATGTGTTAAAAAGAAACGAAGCACTGAATAAAGTTTATTCCGCGTTAAAATGTGAGAACGTAATGAAGTGTGAGAAAATACTTTATGTATTTATGATAGTACAGTACACAATGTACCTACAGAATACGTGGCTCAAGGAAGACACAGTAGAAGGATGAAGTACATGAGAGGATTTAGATGAAAAAAAGGGAAGAGCGAGTTAGGTGGAGTTGAGGGGACTTAGATACAAAAAAGTTTGAAAGATTCATGCCTAAAAACCGTTTGGGCAAGAGAATGGACGCTTACACATGACTCAATAATGTAGCAATGTATAAAAATCAGTTCTCACGAATCCATAAGCTAATGTGAGCATTCGCCGTTAAAATAAAGATGCAGTTTGGGCGAGATGACCCGAGCGGGCCGGCCGTTATCTACTACAACATAAAATACTTTAAATTTATGATAAAGTTGATTTAAATGGTTGCTTGTTGTGTGTTTCCGATCGACTCTGACGCGGCATGTTAATTGGTTTCAATATTCGCCGCTGGAAGTGGACCGTGACCGATCTGATCGCTCTCGGGTCGCCGCGGTTTGAACGTTGACTTGTTTCATCTAAAGATTAAGTTTAAAACTTACTGTTATACTTTATGAGGGAATAAAATATATTTTTATTGAAATTTTCTATTAAGACGTGGTAAAAGGTATAGATCATTGACCAATTAATGGGATAATTGATGTTTTTAAATTACTTTGTAATTGAAATCACGTATCACAATGAATTAGAGGCCCGAGAACGAATCGCAATCATCGCGTTAGCTCGCGTGTTACAGAACTCACCGACAAAGCTCTCCGTCTGTATGTGTTGTGTATGACCGGCCGTCATACTCGTACACCTGACCACCGCTACACTCTATCGAAATATTCGACCGCTTGCGCAAGCTGTCCGCGGGGGGCCGACACGAGCGTACAGACACACAAATAATAACATATCTCAATATTGTACCTTCATGAAGAACATTAAAACAGAAACACGTTTTAATTTACAGCTCGCCGTCTAGTTGTAATCTTAATGTGTCTACATTAGTCACACTGTAAGTAATGAAGTCTAATTATGACATAGCGTATCGGTTGAGATTACCCATCAGTAATCCTGAACTGTTCCGAGCTCACTTCAGTTCAACTCACACTACGTCTCCTAGAGAATTGACTATTCATTATTATTATTGTTAGTGTCTTTTTTCGGTTAGAGACAAACTGTAATATGAGGAATCTTACTCTCCTCCTCTACTTTGAAGTTGTTTGGTTTGTCTTAATATAAGAAGTTCCTAAGACTTAAACATCATATAAAACATATCCCGTGATTGTTCTGTGTAACTTACAAACACTTAGAAGAAATGGAATTTCCAAGTAAACAACTATCAGACCATCAAGATTTAACAGCGGATAATAAATTTACATATAAATGCAAATAATTCTATACATTTATTATAATTCTTTCTTTCCTTGGCTTTACGTATAATATTTTATTAGTTCTTATTTGTAATTTGTCCATAACTTGAGCTTACGAGAGCGTATTTTGTTCTCGGAATATATTTTGTATTAAACGTGTTAATTCAATGTGATTCTCGTCGTCTTTAATCGTTACGGTGAGTCGAATCGATTTCATTTTGATTGCTTCGTGAACTGCCAACAATGTCCGTTTTATTTTAAATCACTCTTGTAACCGGTTCTGTTATAACATCCTCTATAGTAGTCCTCCTATTATAAACTTCAAATTATTCTTAACTACTTTTTAATGTCATTTTTAATATCTCCTAAATTTTATGAACGCGTCGGACTACTATAACTATATGACACAGGATCCCACTCACACTCGATAGAGAATTATAATTTTTCTTATTTATTTCTCTGTTAGATGGAGACAGGATACAGTCATATGGCAGCTTATTTGTCTATGAACATCATCGCACCATGATCTTAACGCCTCTATTCTCACTTTCTAATATCATCCTGTCTTTCATGTAAATAAAGACATCGAATCAAATCATAATTTTCGTTTCTAAAATTAATTTTCAGCAAAAATCGTCATACAACAATCACTCTCACACTACAACACTTTTAAATGATAAACATCTAAAGCATTTAAAGATTAAAAAATGGCTCAAGTCATAAGTGCTGTACAATTTAAGGAGTTTTATATACGTATAGAATAAGTATTAATATGTTCTGAGTTCAAAGTGTTAGAGAAAGGAATGATGAAAGGTGTGTGCAGGAGGTGTCCCGGTGGCCGGGAGACACCTGTCGCGGTGACCTCGAGGAACGACCGCGACCCACCCGTGTACCGTAATACACTGACATGTAGTGTAAAAGAACATTGTTTACAGACACACCAGCCACACGTGCATTGACTATATACAGAACAACTATTAATGATAAAAAATATAATTAGTCGTCAACGAACTCTTTAAACATATTGATATAATTTCTCAGCGAGCCCTTTCATTTTGTAGGAGCACAATGTAATAAGATATCTCGGTTGTTTCGCTATTACAAGTGAAAGCATCAAATTATATGTGGATTAGTAATTTCAGTTCAGTTAGTTGGAGTCACGTGATTCTAAAATCTGTTGAAGATCATATTCGATCAAACAAAGTAACAGACGCAACACAAGCCTAATAATATATTGTCTAATGACCATTCTTGATGATGTTTTGAAAAATATAGATAGTTACGTTTAGATATATTTAATATTCTTATCATTTCGAAAATTATAAAAAAATCCAAGCTCAGATGTTGTTGTGGGGTCACCTCAAGTTATAAGTAAAGACATACATACATTTTGTTCTACAGTGAAGTATCCGTGTTACATCATCGCTCGTAAAGTAATCATAATATTATTTTATCTTTAATACTGTACAAGGACTCCGTTTATAATGTTATCTTTAACAATGTGTTACTGTTTGCATCATCTACCAGTCAAAGGTCTTGGTATTTTCTCGGAGGACACAGGCGATCTTAAATATGACGCATGACAATAATTTACTACCCTTTAAACATAATTATTTTAATAAAAATAATCACAATCATAATGATAACAAGATAACAATGATATAAACATCTCATATTGCAAACAGTAATATCACATATAATATTTTAACATCAGAGATTATGAAGCTTTCAGCATTTGTTCCGTCTGGTCGAGGTGTATCTGTGATCTTTTCTTTTTTGTTTTCCGTCCGAGAGCTTCTGCTTCTCTCACTGTGTCAGGGAGCTGAGTGCGGGCCGTCTCCGGCATGAAGATAGTCAGGGCTCCAGAAACTAAGGACGATAGACCGAACAGAAGCGCGGGTAAACCTGACCAGTAGGCCATCTAGAAATAATATGCAATACGGCATTAATCTGTTGTATAAATGAGACGCAGTTGATATATAAGTGTTTCTAAACAGATACCGACCAGTAGGGGTGTCTGAGGAGCTATCAGGGATCCTACTCGTCCTATAGCGGAGCATATGGAGTGCATGGAGTTCCTGGTGTAAGTCGGGAAGAGCTCGGACGTGTACATGTACACGATGTTGTATGAGAAGGTGGCCAGCATCTCGAATAACATGAAAAGAGCCAAACCCATCCACGCCAGACCTGCAATACACGATTAAATAATTAAATCACGCAAGAAAATCGATTTGGTCAATTTTTAATAATAACAGACATTACCTTTGGGAACAAAAGGTTGGGTGATACAAAAAATCCCACCCATGACGAACGACCCCATCAGCGGGATCTTTCTTTTATACTTTGACAACGCTAACCAATAGAAGATATTGGAGGGAATGTCCATCATAATGAGGAGAGCGAAGTTCAAGTACTTGTTGCCGCTGATGAGGACCGAGCTGATCATCATCCCGTAGTTGATGAGAGTGATCGTGAACCACCACACGAGACACACCAGGAACCTTCGCATCATTATCTGTGATTTAAACGTCTTCAACAGCAACTTCCTGTCTGTTTTACTCGAAGTTTTTTCATCAGTATATTCAAGTTTATTAATCATATGACGGTCAATGTGTACATTGTTTCTTTTTGCTATTTTTTCTATCAATCGGATGGCTCTCTCTTTCTGTCCTTTACTAAAAAGCCATCGAATACTCTCATCCAAAAGGAACGAGTATGTGATGATGATGAGAGTCGGCGCGTAGATCACACGGAGGAAGTTCCTCCAGTAAGGCACCGCCCAGGCGATGAATGACATAACAATTTGACCGATGGTGTAGAAGTTCAGTAATATCATCTGATATAACACAGCACGCTTCTTATCTACGATCTCGATACCTAGAAAATCATTTGTGTTCTTTTTATTACAAATATATTATTGTTATCTAATGTTCCTAAATACACTTTGTGCATGCAATTACACTGATTCGATTTAGGTTAGATATCTGTCTCTTATGATACGTAATATTAATTTATCAGCAGACACACAAAATTATAAAAGTATTTGTTATCCCGTTTTAAAGTTCAAACACCTCAACCATTCAGTAATTGTATTTGAAAAGCGAAAGATTGCGATCCCCCAACATTTTATGAAACTTTCTACAAATGAGAGTTGCTCAAACAAGAGCAATAGAGACATGCAGATTGATAAAAAAAAAACAACAATTTTTTTGATAAAATGTGACAAACATGTGTTTCGACATTGATCAAAAATAGACCGGTTAGTGCAGTTTCCAAGGTAATTTAAATAAATATGACTTGTTTTATTATTTCTCTTTTGTCAATGCATTAACAACAAAATGAACAAACAAATTCAATTTAATTTTCGGATTCTTTAGTTCATTTATCATCGCCTTTACTCAGTTTGAGGTAAATATGTCACGTTATTGGAAGTCACTATCATAATAAGCATTTGTAGTACCTACTTAACATGAACATAGGAGACAAGGCATCTCCTATAGCAGCCTCCAGGCCTTCCAGCGCCAGGTACACCCAGAAAGACGAGGCGAAACTCTTGGATAGACCGAGTACAGCCCCCATCGTACCCGCGAATACAGCAGCTGTCTTACGACCGAACCTGGAGATATTTATATAAATACATATAGTACTCATCTTGTTAAGCTTTTTGTTTTTAATAGTTGTAATATATTAAACCTGTCTGATATCTGTCCTTGTATTATTTGTCCTATGAGACATCCGAGACTATGTACGGTCCCCACCAGAGGGGGCTTCCAGTCCTCGCAGGCTAAACCGAACTGTAATTAAAAGTTAACGTCCTTTAAATTACAATTGTAGTTATCTTTGATATAGTGCTGAGGATAAAAGATTTATTTTTATTATCTATTAAAGATAACGGATAATTTTGTTTCTCTTTTATGCAAAATCTATCAAATAACGAAAGCTCAACATTATTTTCTAGGAATACCGTTGTATAGAGAGCAAATGCAGAGAAACTTGTTTGAGCACAAACATTTGATATCAGTTAAATACTTATCATTGTCATGATATAATATAGGCAGTAAAGTCATATCATACGTTTTACTATTCAAGTGTCGCGTGAAATATCCATAACTAAATAATAAGTGCAAATCTGTTTCCTACGAGACATCTAAGTATGTACTCGTAGTATCGGAATGCATGGAAGATTGTATCACGTCCGTGTCCTCGCTCCGACTAGATCATAGGAAAAGCAAAAACTATGCATTTCTGTGTAGGTACGTCGGTTCATGACACACAGAGAACAATCCATTAGGTACCGAATAACTGTTTACCTTAAGATATGTCTCGCTTTATCCATCGATCGTATTGAAGACGTTAAATAGCGTGACTTCATTAGAACTGTTTCTATTGTGAGAATAAATTATGATAAGATTAATTTCCTTTTAAATTATTCACATCGCAACAGAATTATCAATGGGGTATGTAGATATATAGCTACTGGTTCTAGGACCCATACGCTGTTAGGTATTATATCGTTTTTATATATAAGTATGGATTTCCTCGATTTAATAAAGAAGTGTATGACCGGAGCGTATTATCTATAGCGCTGCAGTCACGAGCCGCGATGCTCGATAAGTTAGAACGTCCGAACCTTTGTAGTGACTGCTCCTACTTTATGGAGCTTCTCAATTGATTGTTATCGTCCAACGGATCGTTGTGCTACTTATGACCGCTGGCTTTCTGATCTACATCGGGATTTGAGTTCATAATACAAATCTGATCTCAAATACAGTACCAGTAATAGCTAACTGTTATAGCCAGATATATCGGCCACCTGTTATTTATTAATGAATATATATTATAAAATATTTGTTTTATATTCGTAACATATTATTAAATTTATTTTATGATATTGTAAGATTGAAAGTAGAAGTATTTTTATCAGCAAACGAACAAAACGAAGAAATATCGAAGTAAATTAAACATATGTATTTAGATATACTAACTTCGGCCACGAAGCTGTCAGGAACCTCGTACACCCATTCATCACATCTCATCAGTTCAGTTTGATTGAAGTGTGTACATCGTCCGTTGAGAGGTGGACTGCGGTGACACTGCTTCACACTTCCCTCGTACGAGTCAAAACTAGAAGCATTCAGCCAGGGGACGGAGAAACTGGTGCCGCTCTCACACTCGGGTACCTTACACCTAAAATACCGACAATAACACGGTTTAGGAATATCTTTAAAGACATGTGGTGTGTGTTAATGTCGATTATAAAGGATCCATCACCTGTAACTAACATCTTCGACCGCGAACACGTAGTTCACGATATACATGGAGTTGGTCGAGTACACGAGAGCCAGCATACACAGGGTGAGGAGCTGGTGCCTGCCGAACCCTCCCAGCTGACTCAGTATAGTGTCCAACTGAACCGGTTCATCGGAACAGTCCTCGTCGCATTGTCGTATCTTCTCGGACGCCATGTTAGGACATTCTTTGATTCATAAATTGCAGCTACTGTTAAATATTCCAAGTGAATTCAATTGATTAGTTCTACGAGGTAATGACCACTACCGGTGGCGTGGTGACGTATGCGATGAAAATATTAACGTTTATTATTAAGGAAGAGATCTAAGACATACATACTTGATAGAAGGCGGGCAGGATGAGGACGATTTACACGATAGACCTTAATACATAACTAGTGTGTGGAGCTCCGAGCAACGAGCACCGAGCACCGAGAACATAGAACAGTTCCGAAGACGTCCGGCCCGCGGAGTAGAGCTGCTGATAATGATAAAAAAAAGTAAAATTGTTCACGTCTTTTACGATATTTGATGCGAACGATCTAAAGGAGATGCGGTGCGACCGGTTCTGTTTGTACACAATGTCGCTGACAGTTGACACGAAACACACTGTTATCAATATGTGAGAAGGTAACGTTTACTATAAATTAACTGAATGTGTTCAAAGTATAGATTTATATTAAACTAGCTTTCCGCCCGCAGCTTCGCCGCGTGGAGTTCGGTTATATCGCGTTTCCAAGAGAACCTTTCAAAAGTCTGGGATAAAAACTATCCTATGTTCTTTCTCAAGGTCAACTCTATCTCTGTACCGAATTTCATTAAAATCAGTTCAGTGGTTTAGGCGTGAAAGCGTAGCAGACAGACAGACAGACAGACAGACAGACAGACAGACAGAGTTACTTTCGCATTTATAATATTAGTAGGGATTATGAAAAGGACGTCTGTTTACACGTGACGCAGAATAATGAAGTGAAAGTGGATACTTTAACAACAGATAGAACATTATTATTTGTGAAATCAGAATTAATGTTATACAATAGAAATATATTAATTGAAATATTAGTAATATTTGAATATCATAAATAAATAATGTGATATAAGTAACTCGTTCAGAACATGGAGGCTGTGACACAAACTGTTCTAATGAACTACAGCGAGAGGATCTCTTGAGAAATGCAATATTTGATTAATGTACATACATCCAATATTATGTAGTTTTTATAACTCGTGCTCGGCTTATAGAGTTGTCATTATTAACGTCTTCCACTCACACATACACGAGTATATATATTATATGAGTTGGGTGTCCATCGTTACTTAATATATTGAAATCACTTCGGTGTGATGTGAGTCGGATGAAGAACAAACAATCTGATACGTATTTCTATATAATTATTATATGTTTTGATCACATCGTGACACATCTAGACTATCAGATATGATTTCATGTTAAATAATACTCCTCGGTAAATATTTTGTTTGCTAATATATTATAGAATAACTGCTGGTACTTACATACTCGTACAGACTTTGACAGGCAGCGTGATGTTGACTTGTAAACTTAACAGCTTATATTATATAGGGTGGAAACCAGAGGTTCTGGGAAAAGAACGAAACTTATATTACAATACGATTTACATGTTAAAACTTATAACCTATACCAAAGATTACATTATTGCTCCGATATAAGGATAGAAATGCCCATTTCATTGCTTGTTTGTTATCTTCTGGTTCACACGCTTGGTGTTCGTTCCGCGGAGTCAGCGGCGTCACTCGTTATATGATATTTTATCCATACAGCGATGTTGCCCCGGCGATGTTTTTTATTTTTCTAAATGTTGCGGGTACATGACACTGTCAATAATATTAACTAACATTGACAACACTGTTTCATATTAAAAATAATTATTTTCTAGGTTTTAGTGAAGTGTTCTGAACCTTCGTTGTTACGAGGAGAGAAATATTTTCATGAGTATGTTATAATGTTGAACACAGCTAGCGCGCCCTTCAAGCAAGCAAGCAACTTTAAATGTTATATTTGTTCACGTAAAGTGATAAGACGATGTTTCTTTATCTTTATAGCGTTTGTGAGTCTTGAAAATAAAATTAAAAATATTTACATACACCAATGAAAAAAAAATCCTAAAAGACATTTAAAACAAATCAAATAATATTTGTTTGATTCTCTGACTTACGGTTTTGTATATTTTTGCTTATTCATGAATTAATACCTTCTAATGTACAATAGGTTTTATCAAACTGAAAGACAGACACATATATGAAAGTTATTATGAACTAGTTGCCACATAATCAGGATATTTCACACATTGCGTCTTTAGAATACCGTCGCATGAAGAGAGATCAAATGTTTTTATTTAAGATACTTAAAAATTTTGTAGATTCACCCTATCTGTTACAAAATATATGCTTTAGATGTCCTAAAATTAATACGCGTCATCAGTCCCTTTTTCATTTACCTATCACAAATACCAAATATGCTCAAAATACTTTTATTTTCCCTGCCTGTGATCAATATAATAAATGTTTTTCTAATAAAGATTTTACAATGTATACAAAAAATAAAATAAAAAATGAAATAAGTAATGCCTGTAAATTATAAATAATTTATTTTTAAATTATTATTATTATTATTTTATTAATTTATGTTTATCTCATAATTTTTTTTAAATAATTGTCTTAATTTTCATTCATCATATTATTATTTTGCTTGCCATCAGCCTATCAGAGCCCACTGCTGAGCAAGGCCTCTTTCTCACATGGAGAAGGTTTGAGCATTAATCACCACGCTTGCTCAAGACGGGTTGGTGATTTCAAACTTATAATTGTGAAACTATAAGTCCAGGTTTCCTCACGATGTTTTCCTTCACCGTATGTCAGTGATGTCTAATACTCTCAGAAAGTACATATGACTTCGAAAAATCACATTGGTACTTGCCAGGTTTGAACCCGCGCCCTCGGCAACGAGAGGCGGGCCCCTTAACCACTAGGCCACCACTGACTTTATATTTTGCTTAATGTCATCAATTTTTGTATTTTAATCTGTTATTTTATATTTTGGCCAACGTGTGTTTAGACGTTTTATTCTTCTTTGCTCCAAATGAACTTGTAATCCGTGGAAACTTAATTGGTTTATGTATTTTTGTATGAATTATTTCAATTGATTGGTTGCAATACTGTTTGTTTCCCAATAAATTAAATAAATAAATAGTTAGTTATTGTTCAACATAGAGAGAGACATTATTGATTAAAATATTTGTAGGTTTTCATTATAAAACTAATTTCAACATTATATTAACAGAATGTAGGACAGTATACAAGGCTGTTTATATATTATAGTATATAGTGGTCTGTGGAGATGTGACCTGTTGTTCGAGACCAGGAGAGACGTGTGCTATAATGATTGTTAGCGGCAGGTTGTGTGCAAATGTTGGTGATCTCTGTTGTACAATGAATGAATGAAAACTGTATTATACATATATGAGCGAGTCCGTCATGAGTTCACATGTACTTGAGATCTGTTTGAGTTTATATTTATATTGATTGGTAAACGATAATTGTAAATAAATTATTTGTTTCAATATAACTCTTATTAATGACACGTTATCTTCCTTTCTGTTCCTCCTAAAGACAATCTATTGTTTCTGGTTTGCAGAACATCGATCAGTTACAATCGATGGTTTGTGATAAAAAGAAGTATTTAAGAATAATTTAAAACTTTAAATTTTCACGAACAGATGATTTTTAAATTAAAAATGTATGCAATAACTTTTCATATGTAAATATAAATGTATGCAACAACATTTCATTCATATTATCTGTTAAGAAGTACTCCTGTATATATATATACATAGTATGTAGTGTAGGTTATTATATAATCTATCATAATTACAAACGGTTTCTCTTTAGTTGGCTCGTTGTCTATAATTCGTCCAATTTGTATAATTCCTCACGAACAATATGGTGTAATCAGCTCGTCACGACGCCATCTCTCAAGTCCCTCGTTTAAATCTCGGAAACTGACCGCGATCCTGACGTGAGCCACATGTTGTAGGAACTTGGCAAATTAGACTTTTCATCATTTATACAATCATACCACTTAAAGTTTTGCACAGAACATATCTATATTATACATTCTGTAATCCTCGCATCTGTCAGGTTTTATTAAAACACATATTTAAGTTAGTATAGTGTAGTAACTTGTATAGTTATAAGATTAAAAATATTTCAATCAAACATCTGATCCGTAGTGTTCCGACACACCATCAGTATCTCCTCGTGTGTGTGGTGACATCAAACTCGTTATTAACAGAACGTCTTACATTTCAGGTCCGCTGAGGAGTTCGACAAACAGCGGAAGAGAAATGTTGTAATAAAATTAAAGTGATTCTTCATACAGTCGCTAGTTGTACTGTACAGCGCCGCGCCGTGTACTTCGCCCACCGTTAGTTAACGTTCATACTTCAAATATTCAAGCGCACTTCAAAACTATTTAAGAGGTGAAGTGAAAGTCTCTGGTGTACACACACACATACACACACACACACACACACACACACACACACATCAATACGGTATATTTATTTTGGTCGCAAGTCATCGATCAACACCTTCATTGTCGTAGTAACGGGTTACTGCGACTGTTTTAGAACACAGCCTTATGATCTTTCAAAAGATAACAAACATCATTTTCAGTCACCCTTTGAAAAGTATGAAAATCTAATTAATAAAAGAAATTAAAAAAAAACTATATCTTTCTCAATTTATAATTATAATGAAACCACCAAACCTTTTCATTGAAAAGATTTAGTAAAGGTCGACGTCTGTTTGACTGTGAGTCGTGTGGACGGCAATTATAAAGGATGAGAGAACAGTTTGTACCATTGAAAGCATTATTTTGTTTTGATATTAATATAAAACATACACAGCTAATAGAATATGATATACAACACCATACACTGGAACAGTAATATTAGCAAACAACAAGCATTACATTCAATGATGTCTTTATTTTTTGCCCAAAACATAAAATGTATAGTTAATGAACACGTGATAAAATAATTAAATGTTAACAGGCGATAAATCAGTTGTGAAGTGTGGTCGGAACAAAAACACGAACCGACAAAAACGAGCGACCAGCCTCGGACATACAAAAAGTGTTCAAAACAGATTGGATGATTATATACAGAGTTATTAAACAACGAGCGAGGGACAAGTGAGTGTAGTGAGGAGGGAGCAGAATAATACGAGGAGTGAGTTGTTTATAGTGTGAGTGATGAGTGAGTGGTGATGAAGCGGAGCAAGTCCTACACCTGGCTCTCGGGGCTGCTGAGACCGAAGCCCGAGGAGGAGTGGGGCTCCACCTGGGTCACGGCCGAGGTGCTCCAAGATGACAGGTCAGTGGATACATTAACATATCATAGTTATACAGGAGTCACCACTATGTTGACTTACTTCCTCTATCAATTTAACAATCTCTTTTTATTTAGTCATATCTATAACGTTCATATTTCTGTATATAAGTTATTCCTCAGTTTATCGTGTTTGTTCAAAATACAAATGTCATAATTTTGTTAAACGTTCATTTTGTACCTTTCAATCTAATACTTTTTCTATTCGAATCTAATCAGTTTTATCAACATTATGCGTGTGAATATGAACCTTAATGTGTTTATAATAAAACTCATAGTCGTATGATGTAAGTATGTCTGTGTGTACGTTATAATGTACCGCGGGCGTGGTCAAAGGCCGCGCGATGAATGTATTGAAGGCTGGCCGCTGGGTCGTGGTCGCAGTCGGGGAACATCGCTTCATTATAATGACCTTTGATATTTGGGTGTCTTCATGTACGCGGGTCATGTCTTAACGTTTCTAGGACGTGGACTATGTGATGATGATGTTAATGTACAATCGAAACTATAAGAAACAGAGAAAAAAAATAGTTCCGTATTATTTAGCAAGTCTTCTGATTGGTTTGTTACATGCAACGCCTCGTAATAAATTTATTGCTATGAACATTAACACTTTTAACAGAAATACGATTTGTCACTTTATTTTTAAATAAAATATAACATAAGTGAAGTTATTATTTCTATCACGTTTTCTTGAACGTAGACATTCCTCGAGGAGTAGTAGGAGCGAGTGGTTTACTGTGTTATATAAAGGAAGATTCATTATTATAAATATATGTCATATTATTATAGATAATATTGTAATAAACGTATCTAGTTGGTTGCTAGTTGTGAGTGTAGGATCAGATGTGGTGGTAGGATAGTGACGGTCACTGTGTACCATATAAAGAGCATTCAATATCGTGTAGAGTGGTTTGAATCAACGGTGACAGACATACAAACAAGTTCTTTATATTATAATACAACATAATATTGTAAGAAAATATTAAACAACGGGAAATTATTTGTTTTATGGTATTGTATACAACATTAATTATAATTTGTATATGTTTTTAATAAATATTCAAACCTTTATTTACTGACAGACGATCCTAAAAGTTGTAAGAGTTTTTTTTTATTTTCAAGTCAATATGTATCAATAATAATAATCGCTCTGTATTCATAACTTGCGTGTTCTCATCATCTGGCCCGGAGCCACCAATTGAATTCTACACCGCAGACTGTCGGCCACACCACTCTCATAGCAAATAAAAAAGCAATTCGTATAATTTTCATCTTTATTTCGTAGTAGAAAAGATGATTTTTATTTACCAAAATTACAGAAGTAAGTTTCTTGCTTAGTAGCCCAGGGAACGTACCGTACTGGAGGGGAATTATTGAAAAGGTATTAAAATAAAAGGCTGTTTGAGGAAATTCTCTTTGACCACAAAAGTGGTCCGCTGAAGGCAGGTGTCTGCGGTGTAGATGTATTACTGTATTAATATAAGACGATGGGAAACGCGTTCCTCGACACCATGACACACTGACGTGTTTACTTGATGTAGGAGTAACATACAACATATCTAATAAATATACACATATTTAAATTACACACAAAATATTTTACAGAACATATTAAAAGTTTGTCTTTTTGTATTTTTGTTCTGACTCGTACATACTTTTCGTGTCTAATGTAAGTAACTTGAAGTTAAAGAAACCTTTATCGTTATCAGGCGTTATAAACAACATGTAATAGAATAAATTACTATATTATCAAAAACACAAGTCGATTTGATTATCAAAAACAAGTCAATATGTTGTAACGACGAGGCGTGTACGGACGAGTATAGCTCTATGAAGGAGAAAATGAAGTATCTTGAATCAACTTGTTCTATTAATACATGAACTCCAAAAACAGCTCATAGTAATAGTTTTATTACGTATAAACTGTTTCCACTGAAGCCGTTCAAAAGATTATGATGTTTGTAAGATGGTTTATCACATACACTCTCATTTCAGGTTCATTACACGGTTCGTGTACGTTTAAATAAATATTAATGTTTTTAGTTCACAGTGTAACTCGTACTGTAATATAGGATGTACAGTTATTAAGGAAAATTAGTGATCGACTTGAGATACATTTATATAATCTTATATTTTCAAATACATTTAGGTAACACGTGCATCTTAAAAGCTACAACATACGCCTTTAGATCCACAATGAACGAGTCCACGACTCGCTTCTCTAAAGTCAGTCAAATAAATTATAAAACAGAAACCTCACATAACTCAGTAATATATTTTTGTGCGTTGTGTTCGAGAGCCGACCCTTGAAAATCGAGGGTCTATCAAATCAAGATAAATTGGAGAACTGAAGCCCACAAAAAACTTTATATTCGACACTTAAGAGCCGAAGGAAAGTGCATGACACTTAAGATTGTGCTTACATAAACTTCCCCTAGCCCTCCTACTACGGAATTCACACATTTCATGCGCCCCATGGCGGCTTCCATACGGTCGGAGAACGATCACTACGAGGAAGATCACGCTATTATAGACCTTATGATGTAGGCGATAGAGGGGAACCGGAGCACGGAGATTTAAGGGAGGAGACGATTGTTCTCAGATCATATTATTCATACTAAACATATTTTGACAGTTTTATTCTTTAATATCTCGCGCGCTCTGAATCACGACCTCATAATACAGTTGATTCACGTACAGACATATAACATGGAGAAGAATATGTGACGGAAACAGGGAGAACCGAGGGAAACGTATTGTCACATGGATCTACTACTGAATGACCAACAACTTAAGGCGAGAGTGAATATACAGACAACATATTATAGAGACTAATTGGAAAACAACAAAGAATCTGTTAGTAAAATGATGAAACTCGGTTTTATATTAATGTTAGTGTAATTTTTATTTTTTTACTTTCTAGTGACATTTAAATAAAAATTTTATTATTTAAAATTTAAGAATTTTGTCCTCAAATGCTTTTTTGTTAAGAAATAAATATTCTCATCAAAATTTACACGAAAACACAGCAGAAAATACTTATTATACCTATTAGTTTTATATGTACATATTAATAAATGTTTTTGACATAGCAGGTGTTACTGAAACAGAGTTAATATAAATTTAAAATATGATAAATGAGAACAAGTTTCAATGTTCCGATCCGTAGTAGAGTACCTAATCATTATAGAAATATTTTCCTCCGATAGTAAGAGGAACTGTCGTTGAGATAAATGTTAGTAAATGTGTGTGTTGTGTTACTTTTAAATAAAACATTTTGTAATTCAAATATTGATAAAGCTAATACTAGTATTGAAGCAGATAAGATTTACACCGGAATATAAATGTATGTTAATCTAAACGTGTACATTATATGTAATAAGTAAGGAACGTCTCGCTCCAACTCAGTTTCGTTAGTTTTATTGAAGGTTCCACTTAAGGCAATTAACGGACAGATAGATCCGCCTCATTATGAGATAAAGATTGTACGGACAGACAGACATCTGCCTGAACTCACGAGTGTCCTTGCTGTCCGAAATGGTTCAAAAAAATATTTATGCTTCTCTTTTTATTAATGAGATAGTTGTTAAATATTTACAAATTTATTTTTAAGAGGAAGTGTAGGTAAAGAGGAGAGAGAGCCTTATTGAAGAAAAAGACGTTATAATTGTTACATCATCCCAGCTCAGCGATTTATTGATCATATATCAATAGTTACTTCAAGTCGAGCCTGTTTCGTCAACTATTTCTTTATATATATATATATATATATATATATATATATATATATATATATATAGAGTGTCGTCCTGTCTGTATGTATGTTCAGTCAACATTTCTTTTCTTTATTTCTTATTTCAAACACTGTTTCACGAAAAAATTTCGTTAGAACCATTTGCATTTAACATAAATTATATATTTTAATCATTAAATTTTCCAATATGACGGATGACTACCAAGATAACAACGACTAATTCGTATACATTTCATTATATTATCAATAAATGTAAAACATTTTTACAACCATAACATAGCAACTTATCTCCATCGTAAGAAAAGAATGCAAAAAGCATGTAATTATAAATAAATTAAACATTCACATTACTTAAACATTTATTTTCTTTATATAATTTGTATGCTAATTGATACATACATAATGAACAATACATCAAGTACAACACAAATAAGGAATGCTCACTTCACTTAATTTAATACAATTCCTTAACTTAAGGAACGATAAAAGGAATTAATTAAAAGGCTTCCTTTCATAACTCAAATATGTATAAACATATTAACTTTAATAAGCTAAGAAACATAGTAAAATAAATCAGAGAGGACGCCAATCATCCCAGATATATTATGATGAACTATCATCTACTAAGACTGGATCATTTTAATTTTAAACATGTTGACTGACGATCAATAATAAGTAAAAGATATGTTGAAACATATGTTAAAGTACACGATTATAACTTAACTAAGGAGTTCTCGATTGTTTCTGAAATATGAACAATACACATTTTTTAAATTAACATTTCATGAGTATTCCAATTTATTTTAAATATATCTACATAAATATTCTCTCTATTAGTCTACGTATTTAAGGCAGCTCTCCCCATCAGTTCTCAAAGTAATTTAACATTTTTTTTATAAATTGTGCTAAATCACGTTATCGGAGTAAACGACTTTTCTTTTAAAGAGGGATAAAGAGCGGCCTTAAACGATACCGACTACTGAGAGAGGGATCAGGCAGGATGAGGGGAAACAACTTGAATAACTATGAGGACGAGGTGAAGGAAACGAATATTGTTTGGAACGAAGATTGTTGCAACATTGAGAATATTTTGATTCAATAAAACTGACATAAACAGCTTATACGAGCAGCTCTTATCCAATTTCCAAATGATATAGTGTTGTTGTCACACTATAATATATCACAATCAGACCAGAACATCATATTGTTATGACAGGATGTGTTGTTTCGCCAAGTGTATCACAGACTCCGTGGCGCAACGGTAGCGCGTCTGACTCCAGATCAGAAGGTTGCGTGTTCAAATCACGTCGGGGTCAATGAACACTATTTTTTGATGATTCTATATGAATATTTATTATGATATATATGATATTTTTTTTTGTTAAAATTCAGGATCATACAGTATGTCTGTCTCTTGTATTTATTATATATAAAGTAACAATGTTACTTCATACTACCTCAACTCTGAAGACGTGTCTATTGGCGGTTGTTTACAAAAGTATAACTCACTGACAAATCATAAGTCACTAACAGTTCCTAATATAACGTTAGTTCATTTTTGATAATTCCGTGGTCGCGGGGAAGTTGAACCGTGAAATAAACAGATTGGACTCTGATGGTGGGAAACGACGAGATCACTTGAGTGTTACTAATACATTAGAAAACATAATGTCTTATTATCATAATAATAAAGACGATAATCATCTGATTCATGAATAATTTACCGCATCTCAACATACAGACGAAAATAAATCCTAATGAGAACATTATAGATACTAGATCGGTTTGAATTATAATTCATTAAAGTTTCCTCTCTTTTTCTAAACCAATAGACGTTAAGTTTATTTCTGTATTGGAGCGTGGCTGAAACTAAATTATGATTTGCTTATCGAAAAAAGTTTGTACTAACTAAGAGCAACTGGATGTTTAGATGTGATACTATGAGTAGGGTGCGAATGGGCCTTCAGAAGGTCTATAGGGTCTGAAAGAAGGCCTTCAGGTTCTTGAATCAGTTGTTCACAGATCATCCGTGTGTCAATACGTCACATATCACACACACAAGCTTCAGTTCCCTGGTGAGCTCGTTATTTCTCAAAGTCAATTTTATTCCACCATTATCGATATCCTTAGAAGTCGTTCAATATGTTTTTATTAGTGGACGTCGCGGGTGGTCTCATTTACTTAATTCCGAAGTTTCTTAGCGGGTTTTATTAACAAGTTACACAGAATTTTAATATGATCGGTATATTTAGAGATAACGAATATTACTCCCGTTATCATTGTATTAACATAATAAGACTATTTATAGTTAAAGTCGTTCATACAAACAACTCCACTTTAAACATTTACTTGAGCTTTTAATATCTTCCTATGTCTTTTATTCTTATTTCATATACTGTTATATACTTTGAAGAGCGATATGGTATTTAACAGAGGCGTTAAGATTGTTCGTATTTCTGTTCTTAAATTGAAACCTGATTTTTATGAGTTGTCGTTGTGTGTGTTTGTCATTATATTATTTTTTATACAATAAACGGTCCAGTGTGTTATCCTCCTGATGTAACAAAACACTATTTCATACAATTATATTATTAAAGTCATTATGTATATCCGTTCAGAACATTTAATACGACTATTGATTTGGTAAAAAAATAGAAAAAATAACTCTCGCTGTATTTATTTGACCGTGGACCGATGGTTTGCGGTCAGAGAGGATCGGAGACGTGCTGACCGGATCTATGGGAACAGAAAAAATATATTTATTATTATATTCATATTTTGATACCATTATTTTTATAAAGTAGAAGGTATGATGAAGATTACGTACTACGTTAAGAAAAACATGTTTATTTTTCAACGTAAAATATTTAAATCTGTGGGTTGCTAAAAGTCGTTGGTAAAATTAGTTACTGGCATAAAGATTAATTAAATAGTTAATTTGTAATACCTGTCTGTTCGTCATGGCCCGGGTATGTCACGTGTCAAACAGATCTTCGACTATATCACTGATAAGCTCGTGGTACAAGTGACTGACACTCCTTGACGTTAGATCACGGCCAGTGTTGAAGATTATATAACTTTATAATTATTGTCAATATAAAAAGTTCCTGGCAGGTGTTCGTAAAGTATTTTAAAATTTCATCTAAATAACTCTATTGAACCATTTCTAAATCATAAAACTGTGTGAAACATTCACACTGTGAATCTCAATCAATGTTCTCCTCATTGTACTGAATCATTATTCCGAGCGATATTTCAATCATTAGAACATAACACTTCATGTGTTAGTGTACTTTAACTCACGTTAACAGCAACACTACATTTAAATGTATTATATTTTCTTCTACTTAAAGTGGTTTATTTCTTCTCACTCACTTACTGTTCAAGCCCTCGTGTCGGTGAGAGGATGTCTGTAAACTCTTAACTGAAGATAATTGTTTTATTAACACAATATCTCCGCATTAATGCCGTTTCTTAATCCTCAACCTTTTTTATTTCATTACATAACATACTTTATTCATGTTTTATCTTCTGTGATACTCCTGGTAGACCATACTAGTTGAGGAGCAGTCGTAGGAAGAGTATTTATTTTAATGTTCAAGTAACTAAGCTATTATGAAATTCAAAATGTTACAAACAAAACATTTAGTCAAACATAATTTCCACTTTATTCGTTATAAATAAATAACATTCGTGAAAGTACCAAGAGCGTGTGTTCGTGTTTCACCGACACAAACCAAACCTGTAGTAGGCAGTGCGCTACATGTGAGAGTACCTACATCCAGAACACGAG